ATCTGTATGTCATCATGAGCTCATGGCTTAACAGGAAAGATTCAGCATGTCTGACCTGGCAGCTTCATGGTGGGCGACTCTCTGTCTCTGCCTCCTTTCTCCCAGCATTCTGGTCTGTCTACTCCACCTATCTAAGCTGCTGTCCTATCAAAAGGCCAAGGCAGTTTTCTTTATTCAACAAATGAAAGCAACACATAGAATGAAGACCCTCCTACACCAGGTTTTTAACAATATTGAACATGTTGGAAGCTTTAGAGTCAAAAATAAGAAGAAAAAAGAAAGGTCAGGAGAGGTTCCCTGAGTTAAATCAGCACTCAGCTTCACAGACCCAACCTGCTGTCTTTTTGGGTTCCCTGTTGATCACTCATTTGTGTGTAGTCCCTGTGAGGGCTAAAGTCATGTCTTAAGTTTTAATTAATGTGCTTTGCCCATGTAACCAAGGACAGAGAACTTCCTGGAGGGCTGGGAACTCTTCACACAAGACAACAAGCCAGGTTTTCACTTCTGTAAACAAGGTTGGTTGCCCCAACTGCACAAGGTGTACATGATCACACATAGGTGGGAGGGGCATAGGCTGGAAGTAGATCAGGATTGGACAGAGGCAGGAACTATGTAGCCTGTGGGTTTTGCCTTTATAAGCATCTAGTTACCTGAATTTGTGCCTCCAGCACAAAAGGCCCTTCCCCCACTTGTCAGCTTTCCTGTTGCCTGGATTGTGTGACCCAGCGCTTTGATCAAACCGGGGCATTATGTACAGACAACTGCTTTAAATATCAAGGTTTTGGAGTCAGTTTGGCGCTTGGTCCCCTTAGTGTGCTCTGTCAGATGAATTATGCATTAAACCCTTAGATTTTCTGCTCGCCTTGAAGAGGCTGGGTCTCTCTGCTAGGTCTGTCCGGGCTTCAGAAAGCGCTATTTGGAGGTGAGCATAGTGTGCAAATCCTGACCGTAATCCCCAGTTTATTGTTTCTGGTGGTTGTGGCCTGAGCACTGTTTTGCATGTTCCCACCACTAGCCACTTGGAAGGCTCTGCAAAGATGTCCTTGAAAGAATGAATAGGCTCAGAGCCAGGACCCTGAGGACTTCAGTCACTCAGTCCTTGGTTAGTCAGCCACCCTGGCTAAATCTGCCTTCTGTAAAAAAAAAAAAAAAAAAAAAAAAAAAAGCCAGAGATTTGAGCCTACTTGTGGGGCTGGACGCGGGGAGAAGGGGAAGGGGGGCACACCTGTAATCCCAGCATGCAGGATGGAGAATGAGTTTCTGGGCTCCAAGGTCTCACTCAGTGTGTTGGGAGAGTAGGGGCAGCAAGGTTAACTATGAACAAAGGACCCTATGGGGAAGACTGGAAAGCCCTCCTCACCAGGGCTTCTTGTAACAAAATTGAGCATCTGCCCCCCCCCCCCCCAGATGAGCTAGCTCTCCTAGAGGATGAGGTGTCATGCAAATTAACCTGGAAAGAGCAAGACCACGGTGCTGTGATTTTCAGCATCTGTCTGCTTGTCTTTCTTGCCCACTGGGTCCCTTCTGTCTGCGCAAGTGCTTTTTCCTTTCTTAACAAACTGCCTCTGTTTCTGTCGATGTGTGTCCCTGGCCCAGCGCACTGTTCTGGCACACAAGAAACTGGAAATTTCAACAGGGGCTCTCGGGACTCTGATTCACAAGCTATAACATTAGGAAGAAAGAAAAAAACTTTAAACTTGGCAGGCTCTATATCAGCTTTTGAAATCCCGTCATTCCCCCGCTCTTCTGAATTCCCTAGAAAGAATGTGCTTGACCCGGCCATGACACTAGTATGAGGTATTTCATCAGCTTCAAGAAATAGCTAAGCCCACAGAGGGAAGGGAAGTAGTCCTTGACAAACCTTCCTGGGTGGCGGCGTCACTACTTGTAACTCAGCAACGTGAGGACGACTTAAGGCCCAGTTGTTGGAGTATTGTCCTGAGCATATTTAGAGAAAATATAATGGCAGCTTCTCTTCAAGAAAGACCTATTTCTCTTGTCTTGTGACCCACAATCACCTCTCTTTCCTAGTTGGAGATAAAGCAAAAGAAAACCAGCCGGGACACTGCGGGGAACTGAGGAAGTCCTGCTGTAGCATCCATTTAGTTCCTAGAGCTCCACTCTTGGGTCTCTGCCTGAGGTGGCTTTGCTTGGTAAGGATTGTTCTAGGGACACTGGGAACATGCTGAGGTGTCCAGACTTTGTCACTAATTGGCAAGACCACTCCATGTCTCCTAGTAACTGAACTCAGCATGTTTGCACCGTACTAGGCTGTGTCTCCTAGATTAGGGAGCAGTTTCTAGACATCGGGAGGTTTGTCTAGAGGTTTGTCTTTTCTTGAGCTTTGTTTTCTCTCATCAATAGAATGCTGTGAGATTGCCCAGCGTGTTAGTTGCCGCTCTAGCACCTTTCTGCCCAGAGTGTCAGCTGTCATAAACTGCAAGGAGCTGGAGTGATGCTCCACGGCTTCTGAGGAGAGCCTCTGCCTCTGGCTACATCCTAGCATGGTCCAGTGGACCTTCAGATTCCTTCCAGAATCGTCTTATGTCCGTCCACTTCTTAGGAGCCCTAGCTTTAAAGACTAGTGTCTAGCTCTCTGAATAAGTCAAGGTTTACCCATTTCCTGAGTCAATCTTAATGTATCAGATTTTTCCTGTTGCTCTCCAGAGATCCTATATTCAAACAATTAAAATGTATTCGTTTTTTTTTCTTCTTCCAAAAATCAGCATCCAAGGGACTGGAGAGATGGCTCAGTGGTTAAGAGCGCGATCTGGGTTCAACTCCCAGCAGGCACATGGCAGCTCACAACTGTCTGAACTCCAGTTCCAGGGGATCCCACACCCTCACAGACATACCTGCAGGCAAAATACCAATCAGTGCACATAAAATAAAAATAAATAAATCATTTGAGGAAAGAAAAGACTGCTTAAAAGAAATCAGCACCCTTGATAGTCTTTACTATAGCACTGGTGTGATTCGAACCTGTGTCTCCTGCTAAGTTCATATTGGAGCCTAAGACCCACTGGAAGGGTATTGGGAGGTGGAGCTTGTAGGAGGTAATTAGGCCTTGAGGGCTTCGTGTTTGTACACAGGATTAGTGCATTGTAGAAAGGACTCTGGGTGTGCCCTAGGTGCTCTTATCTTTCTGCCCTTTCTGCTGCGTGAGGATGCAACGTTCCCCACTCTGTGGATGTCATTGAGAAACCATCTTAGAAACAGAGACCTTCCTGACCTGGCATCGAACCCTCTAATGTAGCGGTTCTCAACCTGTGGGTCAGGACACCTTTGGATTAAACAGCCCTTTCACAGGGGTCAGACATGCTGCACACCAGATATTTACATTACAATTCGTAAGAGTATCAAAATTACAGTTATGAAGTAGCAATGACATTATTTTATGGTTGGGGACACCACAACATGAGGAGCTGTATTAAAGGGTCACACACAGCATTAGGAAGGCTGAGAACCACTGATCTAGTATACAAATCACTTCCTGATGACTTCAATCACTCAACACATGCCTGCCGAACCCCCTGAATGTCCTCCTCAAAGTCCTCAGGAACATACTGAATGGTCTCAATGGATTAGGACATGAGCTCTAGAAACCAAAACCCAAGCTAGTCCTCTTCCTCTCCCTCACCTCATCGTTCCTCCCCACAGCATTCTTCCTACACGTGATCTTCACCTACTGTCTTATGAGGGTTTCTATTGCTGCAACAAAACACCATGGCCAAAAAGCAAGCTGGGGAGGAAAGGGTTTATTTGACTTACATGTCAGCATTGCTGTTTACCACCAAAAGAAAGTCTGGACAGGAACTCAAGCAGGCCAGGAACCTGGAGGCAGGAACTGATGCAGAGGACAAGAAGGAGTGCTGCTTATTGACTTGCTCATCATGCCTTGCTCAGCCTGCTTTCTCCTAGAACCCAGGACCACCAGCCACTCACAATGGGCTGTGCCCTCCCCCATCGATCACTAATTGAGAAAATGCCTTACGGCTGGATTTCATGGAGGATTTTTTTTCAGCTGAGGCTCCTTCCTCCCTAAGGATGCTAGCATGTGTCAAAGTGACACACAAAACCAGCCAGTACCCCCCCTTTTTCCAGACAAACAGTTGTAATCAGCTTCCTTTGACAATTCTTAGAGCACTCTACTGCCTCTCCTCCCAGCCCTGAGGCCCTTTATTTTTCTTTCAAGTGACATTAATCGTTTCTTCTTTGACAACTATTCCCTTCATTCAGTTCCGTTAACTTTGCTCTTTATTTTGTTCCCTTCATAACTGGCTTCATACTTGCAAAATTGGATTGCTCAGCTGGTGAAACACACATACCTTTAATTCTAGCACTCAGGAAGCAGAGGCAGGCATGTAGAACACTAAGTTGGAGGGCATCCTGATCTACATAGTGTGTTCTAGGCCAGCCAGTGCTATATAGTGAGACAACTATACGTGTGTGTGTGTATGTATGTATGTGTGTATGTATATTATTGTTTTCTATAGCTCTGTCTTATTACCCCAGCTCTACTGTGAGTACAGTGAGAGAGGGGTGTAGTATTTGGGTGTCTGTTTATGAACCATCAGCTAATAGAATAAATGACAAGAAAGAAGAAAATATTTACTAAGTGTCTATGGTATACCAAAGACCTTTATTTATCTGTTTGTTTGTTTGTTTCCAATGTTGTATTTAATGCTATAAACGGTAAGGGTCAACCTGGATCCATGGTCTGAATCCAGCTTGTTTTCACGAATAAAGCATTTTGAAACATTGTCCCGTCTGTTTATTTGCTTGCTATTTATGGCTAGTTTTCTGCTATAGTAGTAGAGTCGAATCATTGTGACAGAGGCTGTGACCAGCAAGTTGTCTGGTCCTATGGATGTATAGTTTCACGACTGTGATCCATAAGGCAGGAATCAAAGCAGCATTTTAATGCAACGAAATAAGACAGGTGAGCTGTGGTCTGTGTTTGGTACCCGCTGCCATGCCCAAGCGGAGCTGCTCTACAGCTCATGGACCACGTGGGCCGGAGAGAGTCGAGCCACAGTGTGTTCGCCGAACACTACTCACGCGAGGTCTTTGAAAGAACCAAGCTGTTCCTTTTTCCAAGGGGCCTAAGTTTATAGAGATCACATTTGGGGCGAAGGCTGTTCCATCACCCACCTGCCGGAGTCACTGAAGCCTGGTCTGGTGGGGGCCCCTCAAGCTACAAGGGGACAGATGTCGATTGGACCTGATGGCGGACTGACACGGTGCCGAGCTCAGGCCTCGGAAGCTGGACTGCCTGGGACAGCACCCATGGCTTGTTTATCCTGCGTGGGATCTGTGGATGGGAAGGCAGTCTGCAGCCAGTGCGACTGGGCCCTGTGTGGACAACGTATATATACCTGCTGGGGCTGCGGTGCTCTGGCCTGTATGCTGTGTGGCCTTGCAGACTATACTGATGACGGTGAGAAGACGCTTTGCACCAGCTGTGCTATGTTTGAAGCCTGATGTGGCCAAGGACAACCAAGATGCTCACACTGAAGAGAGAGGAGGTGGCTTTTTTATACATTATATTTTGTACCCCAGTAACAAGTGAATAAACCTCTTTATATTTGGGGGGGAAAAAGACAGGTGGGGCACAGAAATTCCTGGCACACGAGGGGTCATCGAAAAACACAGGTTGCCGTCATTACTGCGGCAGTCATTGTAGTTGGGCCTAGAAATGCTAATTCATTTTGAAGAGTGGTAAAATCACACTGTTGGAGGAGGGCCCACTTGTTCGTCCCAGCCACCCAGCTAGCTTAGACCTGAAATAATCACACAGAAACTGTATTAATTAAATAACTGCTTGGCCCATTAGCTCTAGCTTATTGGCTAACTCTTACATCTTAATTTAACCCATCTCCATTAATCTGTGCATCATCATGAGGTCATGGCCTACCAGCAAAGTTTCAGTATGTCTATCTCCGGCGGCAGATCCATGGCGTCCCCTGACTCCATCCTTCTTTCTCCCAGCATTCATTCCAGTCCTCCCCGCCTACCTAAGTTCTGACCTATCAACAGGCCAAAGCAGTTTCTTTATTCATTAGTGGTAATCACAGCACACAGAGGGGGCTCCCATATCATCACACAAAGTAGGAAAAGCAGTGAGAACCAGTGGGGAGGGACATGGGCAGAAAGAGGGAGAAGACATAGAGGTTTCTCCTCTGCTTTCTCTTTGCGCAAACTTTCTGAAAAGCGTTTTTAATCCATTCTCAGAGTTGGGAATGTTGCTCAGTGTGGAGGCCCACAGACGTGAGTCTGTTCCACCTTGACTAAAGGTCAGAGAGTTTGAGCTTACTTTTACTCTTTCAGAGTTGTTGACAACAGGTGTGGCTACAAACAAGATGTCCTGGCCTAGGGTGTGGTTACTGGGTGTTTTGGATATTAAGATGGCCCATAGGGGTGGATCCCCCTCCACCCTGACCAAAGGTCAGAGAATTCAAGCCTATTCCTGCTCCTTCATTTTAAAACAGGAGGTTTGACATAAGGAGTGACTGCCTACGGGATACTTGGTCTAGGGTGTGTTCACTGCATATCCTGCCCCAAACATCAGAATGTTTTACTCAGGAAATAGTGACTTGATGTCTTTAGTGTCGAAGCAAGTAACTGTTCTGTTGTCCTTTGTATAATGTTAAAGCAGTCTTTTGCCTTCTCCCCTCCTCCCCTTTCTGTATTGGGGTATAAAAGCATATGGAAAATAAACATTGGCAGATTCAGTATTCACTGAGTTGCCCTCCCAGAACTATCCTATGTCTCTGTATTTCTTTTGTATCTCTATCTATTCTGCCTAACTTTTCTAAGCCACACGCCCCTACCCTGGAAAGTACGAACCCACTGTGGCTGGACCAGGACAAATGTCACCCCAAAATGTGGCTTCCGACAGCTTGGTTGACAGAATGCTTGCCTAGCATGTACAAAATCCTGGCTTTGATTCTCACCACCACATAAAACTCGGTATGGTAATACACACTGTAATCCCAGCACAGGAGAAGAGGAGGCAAGAAGATCAAGAAATTCAAGGTCATCCTCACCTGTATAACAGGTTTGAGCTATGCTGGGCTAACGAAAGCTGTGTATTCTGCTGCATAGGTGAAAAAGACAGGAAAGGAAGGAAACTGATCCACAAATAGGTTGAGAAAACAGAACGTCAATATTAGTACAGAGAGGAGAATAACACTGTTTACAAAGAAGTATGCTTAAACCACATTAATTATTGCATGCAATAGGCAGCAGTATGCACATTGGCCGCTCATTGAGATCCGTATCATTACCCTAAAGTAATTAAACCAGTGTGGACATCCTGTCTCACGCTAATCACTTCTACCTGGAATAGTGATCACAGCTATAACCATGCTCCATTTGAAGTCTTGACTTCATGAATATGATTGAGAGCTTGTGAAATGGGGTGAGATTGGCTAGACCTTCGGGGGAGCGGAGTGATGGGCACACGAACTGACGGCAGCCATCAATCACAGGCTTCCATACCCAGCTCTTTCTGCTGACTTCCAGGAATCCACATGGAGCCAGTCTCTTGTGGAGCTCTCGGCTACTCTGAGAAGCTTGCATTAAGTTGTGGTTCCCATTGATCTCCCACTCCTCTTACTCTCCAAGCTCAGTTATAGACATCCACACTTGAGCTAGAATATTCAAAAGACAAGAAGACAGGGAGGTGAGGATCACATCTCATACACGGCTTTCTTATCCCTGCAGGTTTTGTTTTCCTCCCAAATGCCAAATTATTTTTTTCTGTGTGTACTTTACACTTTACTCATTTGGGTTTTTTCTTATACTCTATGGAATGGTTATAAACAATATAAAGCAGAAGTTTTTGGTTTTAAAATATCTGATCCTTGAATTCGGAAAGCCTGCATAGCCTCTAATACAGATCATGATTTCCTAAGAGCAGGCTGCCAGGAAAAGGGATCTGCCAATATGGATGTGAATTTGCACTGCAGATAATGTGAGTTCCAGAGGGATGCAAAGACAGTGGCACCTCCCAGCACACATTCTCTTCTTAGGGCACTGTTCACTGGTTCTTTAGTAAGTCCAGAGCCCACTGTTGTGTTTGTATCCAGAGCCCACTGCCCACCCACCCCCCAACCTGCTTATCTAAGCTTTCCAGGGTGTACCCAATATTGGTGTTTGAACCAAAGCAGCTCGAAATAGGTGAGTCAAAAGACATGTGACCTCTGAGGTTCCCCTAGCCTTATTAGTAGAGATGGTCCTTATTGAATGTTGTCCAATACAATCACAGTCTCTCTTGGGATCATATTAAGAAGAAAAGCAAAGATTTAAAGTCTTGTATGGTTTTCTTTTGAAATCTACTTCATGATGCTCCCCTGAGCCCGGAGTACTTTGCTTAGGGAGTTGAGTGAGTGTCGGATGAGCAATTGTGCAATTTATAGACTAAGAATATAAAGCAGTTTCTACAAAAGTGTTCAACATGATTCTGGCCCACCTTCATAACCAATGAATAAAGACATATGTATAGAACTTGAATGAATTTCAGGCCTTTAACTTTTGATCAATTTAGCTAGTCCCTTAGCGTAATCCTGAGGAAATATTGTCATACTGACCGGAAGTCTGAAGGGTCCATCAGACAGAAAAAGCCTGTGTGTAAATACCAGTAGTGAGGGATCAGATGGTGTAGCGGGTGCCTGGTACCTGGAGATTCAGACAGTATTGTAGGCTGAATTCTGCACCTTCAAAATGTGTGAGTTAAAGCTTGAACCACCTGTGTTTGGAAGTTAAGCCTTTAATGAAATGCTAAGTTTAAAAGGCAAGCATTAGGTCCCAATCCAATAAGGACCTGTGTACCTAAGCAGAAATGTAGACACACAGAGAAGGACACGTAAGGAGGAAAGACTTTGTGAGGACACCTAAAAGCCGAAGAGAAAGGCCCAGAAGAAATGACAGTCTCTGACTTCTAGCCTTCAGAGCTATGTTGTTGTGTAGGCTGCCCCTTCTACATTCTGTGTTACGGAAGCCAGGCACACTATGTTCCAGGCTGTGGATAGAAGAACTCCATTTCCAAGGGGTTGATTGTGTCCACGATCCAACTGTAATGTGTGTGTCTTTTCCAAGCATGCTAGTGCCTGATGAAGGGGAGAACTGAAGTGAGTCTGGGTGTCAGTTGTGTGAGACAAACCCTCCAGAAGCCACAGAAGCAAGCCGAGCAATGGACTTGCTTTCTGAAGATGAATTAAGTGAGTCTCAGCAGGTAAGAATCATGTCTCAGTTTCTCAAAGAATGGATAGTGTTTCTGTCACTGGACTGGACTCCCAGAAGTCTCCCAAGAGGGAAGATTCTGTGTAAAAGTCAGACTCCAGATGGCTGGTGCATCCACCAATCAATACGAACAAGGCGAAAGCACATAGGCCCAATCACATCACCCTTTTACAGCAACCATCACACAGTGCTGGGCTCACAGAAAGTGGTCAGAAAACACCACTTTTAGTTATTCTCATAAAAATGAAAGGGAGACAGGCAGTGGTGGCACATGCTTTTAAACTCACTTCCCTTTAAACTCAGGAGGTGGAGGCAAGCAGATCTCTGCGAGTTCGAGGCCAGACTGGTCTACAAAGTAAGTCCCAGGACAGCCAGAGCTGTTACACAGAAAAACCCTGTCTCAAAAAAACAAACAAAAAACAAAAACAAAAAAAGAAAACAAAAAGGGGAATATCTTCCCTCCAATAGACGCAGTATGGCTAGACGTAATTGGCATAGCCAGGGTTAAAGAGAGGGAAATGGGCATGCTCTAAAGAGAAACAGACAGAACTAACCACACTGTTATTAAACCAAACCATTATTTGAAAGCCCTTCTTTCAGAAAGTGAAAAAGGAGCAAGGGCTAGATAAAGAATAGTTGTTTTCTACCCTATCTGGGAAAGAGATTATCAATGTCATAATTACCAGATAGGTTTGAGAAAGAATGTAATTGGCTTTTCTATTGTAAATGGGTCCTTTCTTTCTGAGATGATGAAGATGTGGTCAAATCTTTACCTCAATCACTGCCCCAAGGGGATGCTCTACGCAAAACCTCTCGTTCACGATGCTCAACTACTCCATCGCAATGACAGGCTTTTAGGATTCCGGGGTTGAAGCAAAAGTGAGCTCTCTACCCAAGGAGCTGCTAGAGTCACACCAGAAGGTCGAAGATGAGGCTACGGAGGGAGAACCCTGAGCGTCCAGCTCCTCTAAATGTCTGTCTTCTACCTAAGATCCCATTCATTTACAGAGTTTCTAGCAGATAGTATTATAAATTACTTCCGGTTGTTTTATTTTTAATTGATATTTGTACTCACTTGGGAGATGTAATATCAGAAACTGTTACATGTGTGCAACATATGAAGATGAAATCAAAATAATCTCCCTGTCTCTGCAAGCTTTATCTCCGTGTGGTGAGAACTTTTCTGGTTATTTTGAAATCTACAATTAAGTGTTGCAGCTCATTGATAGTGTACTGTACTGTGGACATTAGATCCCCAACCCCATCTGGTTGTCTCTTT